ATCTTGTTTTGCTCTCTCTCCCAAACGTCTCCGGCTGGCTCCTCACCGACAACTTCAATGTCTGCATCAACTGTGCCCTCATCAACATCCATGTCGCCCCCTTCAACGGGGTAGCTCAAGTGGAAAGCTTGTTGCACCAAACTCGGATAATCCAGCTTCATAGTGTGCAAGATCCCTTGGCAAACTGCTCGACAGAGGTCAGGCGGGTAGGCTGCCGCCTGTCTGGAACGTGCTCCTTTGGAATTGCTGCCAAGGACCTGTTGGTGTGCACCCCACTTGCAACGACAGCGTCTGCCTAATGCATTGAGGAGAGGTTCACTGTTTGAAAGCCAACCTGTTGGTTTGCGGATTGGTTTGCCACTGTCCAAATCGATTGCACCATATGCGCACTGATCTGAAACAACGTAGTTTGCATTGCAACTTTCAATGAGTCTGAACATGATTCCTTCAAAAGCCCATGCAAGACTTCCCGCTGGGTTTTCCACAAGAAAATACCGACCTCTGACATGCCTGTGCTTGCAAACACGAACAACCAAAAGGAGTGTGCGCTTCCCGACCCCCTCTCGTAGAGACTGCAACTTGTCCCAGGAACCGTCAATGTCTTTCAACATATTCATCAACAAGCTCCAAAGTCGGCAATCAAATGCAACAACTGTCAAAAACGGGTCGTGCGTGTCGAGGGTCCTCCAAAGCAACTCTTCTCCCTTCTGGGTGCAAAGGTCGTATCCATCAAGGATAGCCAGGGGTTGCGAACATGTCCAGGAAAACTCTGAACTTGCCATCTTGGTGATGCCAAACGATCCTCCCCAAGGCTCAAAAACAACTGTTGTAGTGAACTGCTTAGTTGCTAACTGTTCTGCCTCAGTGAAGCTACGATGTAAAGCAAACCAAGTGCGTCTGTCCAAAGCCCTCTGTGTCTTGCTAGCTTTCTCAAGTTCATTGACCCTGCGCTTCGAAATCTCACCTCTTTTGTCGGAAAGGTGAATGCCTTGAGGTCCAACTTTCAAAACCTGCTCATGCTTCAAGCTGACGGCCTCATTGGCCTGCGTCTCAAAATATTCCCCGTCGAAGATCTGGTAGGATGCCTCTTCAACAAGGTACAAGTAAAGGTCATCATTCCTCGACTTGCAAAGCGGCTCACTTCCAAACTCATCTTCAGAAATTGCCATGCTGCCGGTCAGGTCTAAGGCCAAATGCTTGGTGCGGGTTTTGATCATAGGAACCTTCACATCTAATGATCCAATGAGAACCATTCGTTCTTTCATGAACAACGTCATGCCCAAAGCTTCCATTGCAGAAATCGACAAAAGCAAAGGTGTGGTGCCTGTCTCTATCTCGGCACTCATGATGGCTCCGGGGCGGCCACCGATGACAACAGGAATCTTCCACACGTTGACTTGGCCAGAAGTCGAAGATCCATCTGCAAAATGAAAGGTCTTGAGGTTAGACGTTTTCTCACATCCTTGCCCAGCTGAAAGGTGACGCTCGTATGCCACACGCCAGGCCTTGGAGTGCATGCAGGAAGTGCATGCGGTGTCAAGCAAACAAATGCGGCTTTCATCGAGTTCTCCAGGTGCCTCACCAATTTGGTGATGTTGCTGGAGTGTCTCTGAAGGGACAACTTCTTCGTCTTTCTCTGCAGCTGGAGGCTCTATTGAATTCTCAGTCCGGCGGCCCGCAGTGACATTGGGCTCAAGGTCATTTCCTGAATTCTCATGCACCATTTCATGATCGACTGCAAAGGCAAAATGCCTGTCAAATGCAATCGATCCCACTCTTCTCTCATGCCAACTAGCCGCGACGTGCGGCAATGGCTGCTGCACGCTGGGCCTGGTGATAGCCCTCCTCCTGTCGCATGGTGAATCGACAATTGGTCTTGCCGAACATTGCGCAGCCGAAGAAGAGATTTCCCGATGTCCTGTTCTGTCGGAGGCACAGAGGCTGGTTGCACACTGCACAAGGAACACCAGGCAAAATCTCGCCCACTCGCAAAGGTGACGATGTGAGGCCACCATGCGCAATCTTCGATGTCTGCTGAGAAGTCGTGGTAGTGGTTGGCGATCGAGTGCCTGAAATCCTTCCCATTCGCTCCAAGTCTTCCAGAATTGGTGCAGCTCGTCCACTCCGAAACATCCGCTCCTCTGAAGGTGGTGTGCCGAGGGAGCGAAAGAAACGAGCTTCTGACTCTGGCGATGGGCTTGTCGGAGAGGTCTCCTGAGACATGTAGGCTCGCTCATTCTGCTGGACTTGCTTCTGTGGCGGGGCCTTGGCCGATGGCTTGGCCTCTGGCTTCGCGGCAACTGACGAAGATGGGCCCGCACCTGATCCAGACTTGCGAGAAGTCAAAGGGACAACATTTTCCGACTTCGAATGCACAAGCCTGCCATACTCGTCCAGGGTGCCTTGCTCAAGCTGAACGAATTGTTTGCTGCAGCCTTTCCTCTGGATGGGCTCACCATTGTAGAAGGCTTCCAACCTGGCCTGAAGTTCATCTTTCTTTCCACTGACCTTGAGGTCATACTTTGAGCACTCTTCTTGCAACTGACGAACATTGAACTTGCTCAAATCAGGCTTCAGAACATCAAGGTTGGCCACCTGAATGACATTGATGTGAGCATCACGAACAAGGACTGGCATCTGGCGCTGCAAACGTGCGTTCGGCAGCTGAGGCATATAATCCTCAGGCCTCTCAAGCTCTGGGAAAAGGACTTCCGGAGCTGGCATGGGCATCGTCATGTCATTGTAGCCAGGAGCAATTCGAGACCAGCTTGAATCTGATCCCACCGAGGCGGCATAGGTAGGAGTCTTCCGCTTGTCGTCCAACTCCGTCCAACCTGCATCCTGCTCCATCTGCCCTTGCTCATCCTCCTCCTTGTGGTGGATCATGAAGGCGGAAGCTTCATCATCATCGGAGAGTCCGAGATTGAAATACAAGGGCTCGTCTGCTGCAGCGTAGGCTCGCTGCTTGTTCTTTCCGCGGCCTTTGCCCTTGGACTTCCCACCACGGTATGGTCCTCCACGGCTTGCCTTGTTGCAGGCAGAGTCGCCTGCCCAATGGCCGAGACGGCCACATGCCGAACACCTCGTCCTTGCTTTCTCCCGCTCAATGGCTGCTTTGCGACTGTCATCACCATTTTGGTCAGGCTTGTTGCGATTGCCTTTGAAAAAGCCACGTGACTTCTGTGTCTCACGGAGTTTGCGGCGTGAGTCTTGATAGGTACGCCGCTGTTTCTCCATTGCAGCATAGGCTTCATAGATCTCATCGTCATCTGAGGCTCCATAATCCGACGGCTCATTGGCATTGCCGTCTGCTGCATCCAGCTCGAAGTCACCTGATACAAAGGCTTCATCGACAACAACGTCGGCATTCTCATCAATGGGGTCATAGTCAGGCTCGTCGAACTCTTCAATGGGATCCTCCTCTTCAATCATATGGGCATAGTTTCGACGGAATTTGCCTGAGCCCTTGCGGTGATCCGACATCTGGCGGGTGCGCTCCCTTTCATGAACGTCATGGAAACTCACCCTCATGGACTTCTCGATGGCATCCAAATTGTACTCTGATCCGCTATTCAGCAAAATCTGTCGTCGTTCTTCTCGAGAAAGCCCACATTGCTTCAAAATGAAATATGCCAGCAAATCATCACTCATCTTGGTTTGGTCATCCAAGTCCTGCAAGTCATACCAGTCTTGACGGCGGCTTCGGAGGTAAATGTCGAGGGCTTGTCCGCGCTTGCGGAAGCCTTTCTCAAAGAACTGGTCGAACTGCTCGGTCTTCTTCACAATCGTGACCTTCTCGATAGCTTGCAGGCATCTGAACACCTCTTTGTATCCATCTTCCCTGGTGAGCTTGTCCTGATCTTCGAGAAGGGACTGACAGCATCTCCAGGCTTCTCCATGGAGGGCATTCAAAAGCTTGGGTCCAAACCGCTTCTTCTTCTTGCTCAAATCACGGGCTTCTTTCTCTGGGGTGTCTCCTTCGCCTTCAAGCATTCGATAGGCGAAGATCACTCGCTTGCGGTACTCCTTCATGAGCTCAGGTCGATGGCCAGTGAAATGAGGAATGCCGTCTTTGTCCATCACTATTTCATCATCTTTCCAAAATGGGGTTCCAGGCATCTGCACATTAGCCATGGCGCGGTCACACAAAGCTCCGCTACCAGTGCGGAATGCGCAACTGGTAGCAAAGCAAGCACCGACAGACCTTTTCACTCTAAGGTGAACAAAGGTATGTGAAACAAAAGCATTGAACGTGTTCTGCCTCCTTATGCTGCTTCTGCTACTCTTCTCTGTTTTGTGCGTGTCATCCTAAGCCGGCTGGGCCGATCGAGCTCTGGGGCCATGCTTGCATGGATCACGCGGCCGTGGTCTCTTGGGCCGGGCCATGGCCTCGAAAGCACGAAAGCTCGAAACAACCTGCTGAGGCATTTCCAATGGAGATTCTCACAGAAAGCAATGAAAAGCAAAGGAAAAGCAAGACAAGCACAAAAAAGGCAGGAAAAGCCAGAAAAGCAGGAGCAACCAGAGAGAAGCAATGAAAAGCAAGGAAAAGCAAGACAAGCACAAAAAGCAAGAAATGCAAGATAAATCATAGAGAAGCAATGAAAAGCCAGCAGATCCGCAACAAAAAATGAAAAAGAAATTCAGAATAATCATTTCTGGAACAACCCCTAAGGCGGTGTATGGACATACAAGAATTCAATTGAAAAATGGGTGAAGTTGAGGGTGTCTTGAGTCATTGACATACGCAGAGTTGTTAAAAGCCTGTGCAACCATCGCCCCCGTCGCAAACGTCAAGACCATAGATTCAACACCCTCTTCAGCAACTTTGACTCAATGAAAAGGACCTAAAGGCCTTTTTCCATCCTGCAGTTGGATCCATTCTGCTTCTCTCATCCTCCTGGTCTCCTCCCTTTGTTCGTTTCCATCACATCCGGCAGTCATCCCATTCCACCCGTCCGGCAGCCGTTGGGGACGCCCGTCCCGTCTCAGCATCCGGCTGCACATTGGGCGGCACTTCCAAGGGCCACGCAGCTGGGGTGGCGCGCTCCACCCAGCTGAGCCGTTGCTCGCGCTCGGTGAAGTGAAGCAAACCCTGAGCGTCCACCTGACAGCGAGTGGCGAGTCCGCCCAGCGCTCGTTTGGGGGATCCGGGCCTTGAGCAAAGTCTTTTGGAGAGTGCTAAAAGGAAGTTGAGGGCCTCAATTAGATCGCTGGGTTGGAGGCCATTGCTATCAGGTTGGAGGCCATTCATATAGATCCCTTTAGTTTAGCCCTTGGTCACGAAGGCTGGCCGCAGCAGCGTGATTCACCAACGCCCAAGCCACCAACGCCCACCCCACCAATCCTACAAAATCAAGCCATCCTGCCAACTGTTTTGAGCTCCGGAGCTCAGTGTCTGAGTCTTTGCTAGTAAATCTAGTACTTGCGAAATCTCTCCGACAAGTACTGATCAAACTGCAAGCGGCCAAGCCTGCAAAATCCAAGTCTCGGTTGAAAATAAGTGACCAAAATAGCAGGAAAATATTACAGTAAAAGCATTACCCCATTCCACGGCCCATCAACCAGCTGAGCTGCAGCTCAGCTCTTTGTTGGAAGGGTCCGGGAGTCTGGTCTATTGAGTCTGGCAACACATCCTGAGTCCTGTTTTGCTGGGATCTGGTGAAGACGCCCATCATCTCTTTCAACCACGTGCCATGTCTGAAAGAGCCAGCCTCAAGAATAGACCATGGGATATAAAACGATATTGAGATCTTACACGGAGGGATTGACACGTGGGATGGTCACAACAAGCAGTTGCCCCAAACGATTCAGATGGGAATTGTGGGTGATATAAGTTTCTCATTTTCATTGATCCAAGACTTTGACCATCCCAAGCTTCCCACAGCTCCCGCCCTACGGTGTTCGCCATCCGCCTGACTTGAAAGTCAGTTCGGGCCTGGGGTTTCTCATGAATTTGGCAATATTCTCTGGTTTAACCTCCGCAACCAAAGTCTGGACGATGGGAACGACAATGTTGCAGTCTTCACTGTGCCCAGGTCATCTGCCACGTCATCCCGTCCAATCCATCTGCGCTGCTCGATCGGCCTCATCTCCAGCCCTTCTTGCAAGTCTGGGACATAGGTGATGACTTTAGCATCTTCTGAAGAGAAGCTAACAGTTCGACGACCATCCATTGCGAGACCGGAGCCGCACAAAATCTACTACACATGCAAGAACTCGAGCCGCACATATTGTTCATCATGCCATGGTGTGCTGAGAAAATGAACGAAGTTAGGACATGACAAGGGGTCCACCGATTGAGGGAGACCCTGTGGCTTTTCCAACCTGTTTTGAGGTGGATCGGAATTGGTCAAGTGACTCACAAAGACGCCTCCCCCATGCCGTAACGAAAGAGGGAAAGCATCGTAACTCGAACACTTCCCACTTCCGGCTCTCGATCACCCAGTCGGATGCGAAAATGTCCACTCGTCCAGTTCCAATACATAGCTTCTTGTTGCTAGTAGTAATGGCCTCCACCCTAGTAGCGATGGCCTCCACTTTTCCGCTTTTCCGCAAGAGTTTGGCACCGCAGCGTATGGCGGGGGTGACCAAGCTAACTACAGAGACTCAGAGAGCTATGAGCTCCAAGTCTCGGCCCTGGGTGAACGCCGCCTTGAACTGGAGCATGAAGTCCTCCACACCTTTCAATCGAGTGACTTTCATTCTGCAGCTGACGCAATGCGCCCAAAAGGTGGTAGCCCTGGTCGAGGGCCTCACATATTGGGAACTCAGCTGAACGCCTTCAAGTTTGTAAACTTGCAACAGGAGTAAGCGAAACCACTTAGTGCGGAGGAATAAATCAAGGGCAGCTGCTTCACTTCTAGACATCCAGTGCCACTGCTTGTATCGGTTGGCCGGTCTGGCACCGCCACTGTTGGTGTGAAGCACGAAGTCTATGTACAAGTAAAACCATGGCGCAAAAACGACTGGCGCCGAATCGGCAACTAGGCTGGCCGACCACTGCATGAGGGTGTTCCAGCTGTCTCCTACGAGTTTGTGTGTACTCGTTTGAGGGCGCTGAGGTAGCACTCCCATTGTCACCTCTGTGAGTGGCAACGGGTAGGCAGCCACACTGGAGTCTTCCGGGGGATCTGGTGCTTCCATCTTAACAGCTGCTTCACTCACTTGAAGCATGGTGAGATGAACCTGATCACGAAGAATCCTGGCTGCATCGATATCGGCATTGGCTTGATGCCAGAGGTGCACGAACTCGGCGGAGCATCTTGCACTCCAACCTGCACTATGATCTGCGCAGTCGTTGCCTCGAAAAGCCCATTGTTCTACGAGGTCAGCGCCGGCGCTCTTCTGATGGCTTGCGACCTTGTGCACGGTCATAAGGGACCTATTCGTGGTTCTGGCCAAAGTGACGACGATGTGCCATAGGTCTTTATCCTTATTACTATAGCGGCATTTGTCTGGATCCTGGAGTGCCTGGGCGAGGGTGGAGACTACTAGTGAGTTGTCGATCCAAACTCTGACTTGGTGACCAGTTCTAAGAACGTAGCGAAGGGCACTAATGGCTGCCGTCATTTCAGCTCTTACGCTCGTTTGGCGATGGCCGGGGACAAGGCCTTGTGCGACTGGCCACCACTGAGTAATGTCGGCAGGGTCGGCTGCTACTAATCCCCAACCTGCTACCCTGGTATAGGCGCAAGTTGGATTGAGGCAGGAGCCATCTGTGAACAAGTCCAATGGTTGGAATGGGGCAAACTCAAACCGGTCAGTCAAGTCAGGCTGGCACAACAAGGCGCGTTGCAACGCCCGAACGGAGGCCGGCAGGCCCATCCACCCATGAAAAGTGAGGCATTTTGGGAGGCCTCCTTCTAGTATCTTCTGGACTAGCCATGGGAAGGGTCTACTGACGGTGAAGTGCTTACACTGCCAAAACCGATGGAATTGGGAATCCTCTTCTCCACAGAATTTGCACAAGAGCGTGTGCGCCTTACAGTTGTGCTGTTGTGTGTCTGCAGTGAAGAAGCTGCCATTAAGCACTTTACGCATAAGGCCTTGTCTTTCGATGGCCAGGGAGTGGAACTTTTCTTGGGTGAAGGTGGCGTGGACCCATTCCATCCCTTGGAATGTTTTACGTTTGCTGGCGCACTGCTGGACAAAGTGCTGCCAACCAGCTAGTAGCCTATGTTGGACTTCCGTTTGCGATCCGTGTATCATGTCGAGTGGCATGCCTTCATGGTCTGCGACCCACCCGAATCCTAGCCACTTCCAGCCTATATTGTGTAGGCGCTCTAGCAACACATGGCACGGGCCTGGTGGCCGCGAAGAGTCGAACCCTTGGATGACTAGGTTATCCAACAGGTGGGTGGCACGATCGAAGTCGGCATGGCGTCGAAAGGCTTGGACTGTGTGGATCAACAAATGGCACCCGGGATCGGTAAGTGGGTGTTCGATCAGCGAGAGATGCACCATGGGGCTAATGCCTGGTGCGTGGATGCGAAGGCCTCTGCACGCCCCTGTCCTCAAAGTGCGGAGGTGCGTGTCTCCTAGTCCTGCTGACAAGCTCGCACTCAGTGCCTGCGGCCAGCCTTTAACTCGCAATGCATGGACTTTTTGACGATATGGAGCAGGTGAACGCGCAAGTGCTGTCCACATTCTTGGCATGGTGGTCAAGCGCTGTCTGAGCACATGGTTGGTGGGCATACGGCCGTATTCCATTTGGGCCCCCAAGTCTCTGGCCGATGACTGCAGCGGCAGCCTGTTCCGACGAGCTGCAGCTCTGTCTGCGGCATCGTTGGACCAAAAATAGGTCTTGGCATTGTCCAGTTGAAGGTCCATTAGTTGGCAGAACTGTGTCATCAGGGTCAGTCCTTGCTCGGCTTCGTCAATACTGGTGGCTGTGAGTTCTAGGTTATCGACATACGACCAAAGTTTTACAGATGGGAATCGGAAATAGAGCCATCGGGCTAACGTGATATTACACAAAAGCATGGCACTACAGCTGAGACCACATCCTTCTGCGAAACCTGTGGACGAATGTAGTGGCGGGCCTATGGTTCCTCTAACACTGAAGGCTCGCGACAGCTGGGCTAAGGCATTGGCCCATGCTCGGACTATTGGCTTAGGGAGACCTAAGTGCAAACCGATGGCCAGCAAAGGCATACGCGGGAGCAGGTTGTATGCTTTAACGAGGTCCGCCACAGCCCCAGCCATTGGTAGCTAGTCATTGATGGCGTCTTCTAACTGCAGTTGGATGCCTAGCCACAAGTCAGCGCAAGATTTGCCTGGGATGTTACCTGTCACGTTGTCGGAAACGAAGCGGCTCAAGTAGGCCAGAGTCTCTTTGGCTCTGATGGAAGACCAGGTACGATAGACCATCGAAAAGACGGTCAGTGGCCTATATTGGCTGGCCTGCCATGCATTCGGGGTTTTCTCGAGGGCATGGACATGTCCCGTGACTACCTGACTGGGCCACAGGGATCGACCTTGCTCGACGTCCGTGAGCATGGACAGTATCTGCTTGACGTGACTGGGCGGCAGGGCGAGCAAATCAGATCGCGATACCCCATCTGGGCCTACAGCTGCTTTATATTTCTTTGCACGAACTGCTGCTTGCCAAATTGGATACGTGATCGGCCGATACTCCATGGTTGGAGGAGCAGGAAAGGCTATCTGCACGAAATTTACGATTGGCTCCCAGTTCGAGTCCGGGGTCCTTGAATGTCGGTCCCATCTGGCCATCCATTCTTTTTGAAAAGCCTTGTATATGTCGTCAAGCTCAAGAATTGGAGTGGTCTGTGTCAGGGTGTCCCCCGCTTGCAATGGCGGCATGCGCGCTAACCAAATTTTATCTGTGTCTAGGTGGACTATTGGGAGGGGGATTCCATTATGTTCAATGGACTGCGAGGTCTCGAAAGCATTAGCTGAATCAAGGACGAGTGCGCATTCCTCAGTGTCTACCATTTCGACAGTGGCCATGGTGTGCGCCAACAGCATTTGTACTGGCTCGGAGCGAGGCTTTTGCAAATCGGCGAAAATCCTGGCCGGATTGGTTAGTCTAGTTTGTTTGGCTTTGGCCGTCTTGGCTTGGATGAGCATCTTTTCAAAGTGCTG